CATACCAAAACCATTTTTATAAACACATTCAGGAGCTTTCACTGACAACCTCTCTGCTTTGTCAACTGGAACTATAATAGATGGTTTCACCACATTCATTGTCTTTTATTGGTTGTACTCAGAACTGTAGTTCGGGTGCATGGAAGATTAAAAGGAAAGCTTCTATTGCAACATGGCTTGGTGGAGATTTCAGTCACTTCTCTAATTTTTTAGGCTGTTTTTAATGCCAGAATTTTTGCTTTGTCCCATTCAGTTACTGTTTGAGAATACTCGATAAAATATTTAACTAAATATATGTTATTTTCAGTGACGAATGGTTGGCAAAGAGCTTGAAACACTTTTTTGTGTTCAGCAATTCTTATCAATAGTTTTCTGGATGTTGAGCCAATGTGTTTTGTCACTTTTGTATTTTCCGTGCACACTTTTGCTTCATACCGATGGTGTATGATAGTTATTTTTCCATCATTCTACATTGAACAAAAATTTTTCTTTAAACAGGGTTAAACGGGAGTTGACTTTACTAATAATTAAAATTAGTTTTTAAGTATTTGATATTTTATGTAGAGACGAAAAGAAGGCCATATTTGCTACTGCATAAGGACTCTGGAAAATAAGCCTAATAATTTCTAAATGTGATAATACCAGCATTCTTTGCAAGTGTTGTTTTGTTGATTAACTCAAAGATATAGTGATAATCTTAAATTTTTATGAGTATTGTATTTATGATGTTTATCATGTTCAATTAATCAGTATATGAATGTCATTATCAGCATTAAATTCTAAATAAAATTCAGTAATAATACATGAAAAAATTACAGCTGGAGCTTTTAGAGTATTCTTGTCCTGTGGCTGAGTGGATGAGACTGCGGAAAACCAAATTTAACCCTTTCATCAGTTTCAAATCTCATTGAAGGACCTGGTTGTGTGTGGCTTTTATAGTTTTTCTTTGTCAGTATAGTCTGTCATGTAAGTGCAAATCAGTTTCTCATAGAAAGTCCTATCTGAAAACATTCCTTCCTTAGACAAGCAGCCCCAAGCTTTGTCTTTATTAGTCAAGTAACCAATCATCCAAACATGAGCATCTTGTTCACCTCAATCAGATGTGACTTTCAGGGAAGGCAAAATGTGTGACGCCATTAAGCTGTGTTCACACTGGTCTGTTGGGGCAAAAAGTGGCAACACGGAAAAAAAACGCTTTCCGCGTACGTCAATTCAAAACAGTGCGGCAACTTTTACTTTAAAAGTTGTCATATGCTCGCACTAGATGGCACTTCATATCAGAAACTTGTGAGGGGGCGTGAAATTATTGTGTGGCATTTTATAATTACATTTTCTAATAAAATGGATTTAATTCCGGCTCGATTAAAACTTATTTTACTTCTTACTTTGTGTAAAAGGAACAGAATGCAGTGATTTATATTAATATGTGAGAGATGACTGCAGCAAGGAGATGCAAATAATTTAATTGAAGAAATGTGGTTTAGCCAAGCAAAATTTCTTTTAATTACTTTTGCATGATGTATCATCAAATCGATGAATTTCTAGCCCTCATTGAACTATTTATTTAAAGGCAGAACACTAATTTTTATCAGAATATCGCAGAAAAGAATCGTTTGGAAGATAGGAATGAGATAGTCCAGAAAAGGATCATTGCATATATCTAACGCTGTATATATCTAATTTATTTATGAATTTTGTTGAATAATAATTAAAAAAGCTTAATTGCATGATTCTATTTTGGAGAGTAAATTTTTCATGGGGTAGAATGCTATAAATGTTTTTGCATGATATATGAACTTCTCTTAAATGCTTCCTTAAATGAACTTCCCTTAATTGTTTTAAATAATGCAAAAAAAAGTATATTTTGTTTAAATATATGTAGGATTTACAGCATTATTAAATATCACACTTAAAAAAGAAGTTATTTTTAAGTTAATTAACAAAAGCAATTTTTTAAAAAAATGTTTTAGTTTCTTCTTTATGTACGCATTTTTTACCTTAAATGCAATAGTAATTACTTCATATATTAAGTCATTCACATATTAATGAACAGACACTATATAAAGGTTTTTTTTAAGAAGGTCACTTTTATCTAAAACTCACTGAAGTAACTCCATTTTATATAATTTCTTTTTCTGTGTTAAAAATTGAATTCCATTTAGTAGATTTGCTGATGCTCATGCAAAAGTTCTTTAAAATAATGAAAAATTATCATCAAGATTAAACCTTTTGAAAAAGTGGAAAAGTATTCCCTAAAGTCAGCTAAATACTAGCAAGCTTCTTTTCTGTAATAACAGTTTTCTTAATTTTTTTTAACAAATGGTTTACTCGGAGGGCTGTAGAGTCAGAATCGGAATTAGGTAGATTTTTGGGTAAAAGGAGTTGGAACTGGAGTCGCTAAAAATAAGTCGACTCCGACTCCAGTTTTTGTTGGACAGTTTGAATTTGAAATGAAATTAAAGTAAATTGAAAAAAAAAATTAATGGCAAACTGAGTTATTATTTTTATTTATGGACTATATACATTAATAAATCGTTATTTTCTGTTTTATTGACATATTAATAAATAAATATAAGGAAGGAAGATTGATGTGACATTTGTCATTATTGATTAAACTGATTCATTTAGTTACAAATCTCATTGGTAAATTTAGGTAAGCAGATATAGCAGCAAAAACTCCCAAAATTGATACCATTCTTAGGAAGTGAGCAGGAAAAGGAGCAATTATTGATCAAGCATTGCGATGGGAAAGTACATATTTAATGATATAGAGGTTATTAGAATTAATAGCTTTTTTAGAAGATGTAGATAATCCTAACATTTCACTAATAGAAAACCTGTGAAATGATTTTGCAGAATTGGAAACTATTCTTTCTACTCCGTATATAGCCACAAAAGAGCTACAATCCGAAGAATTAACAGGAGGTTAAGAATGCGAGAATGTGATGTTTGTTCTTTCTGAAATGGAGGGTTTAATGCAGAAGGAATTATTTCTTCAATGAAAAGAGAAAGTAGATTGATCAATGATGACGAACAAATTAAAAGGCAAGGAAAGCCATCTATGAACTTTCATTAAGAATGAAATTATTCTCGGAAAATTGGAGTATTCAAATCAGGACAGTCAAACTGAAGACATTGCAACTGAGTCTCTATCATCCTTTTCCAGTGATGAATTAGATTTTGAGAAATATTAGGATAATATTGAAAAGGCTAAGGCAAAGCGAATGAGAATAAAGAGCCTTTAGATATGAAATTGAAAAAATACAAATAGATTTCCTCACCGTCTTTGCAGAAATAGAGAAATATGATTGCTCTTGCAAGTCACCTCTTATAAAACTTATAAAAATCTATCCTGAAAAGTTAAAAGAAGTAGCCCTAACAGTAATAGCTCTTCCTCCTACTCAAGTCAGTGTGGAAAGACTTTTCTCAGCTCTAAACCTTATCAAATTGCATCTATGATCTTCTAACAAAGAAGATCTTGCCACAGGTATACTGTTTCTTAGAAATTACTAATGCCAGTTTTTCCATTTCAAAATAAATGCTAATTAATATAAATAATTTGCTATGCCATCAATTTTTTCCCTGTAACATCTATCACTTCTTTTATATTAAAAAAAATAAGCTGTAACCCATGTGTATATGTTTACACAAAAATTCCAGGAGTCGGAATCCGTCATTTTCTCTACCGACTCCACAGCCTTGTTTACTCGTCACCATTCAGAACTCACTAAATTTTTTAATTAGATGGAAACATCAACTTTATACTAATACCAGTATCTCTTTTCCTAGTTTCGTGCCAGCCGAAATAGCATCAGATCATAGTAGTCAGATCTTATGAAATATACCAAAGGCTTGTTATCAAAAGAAGGATAATGCACACGATACCCAGCGAAAAGGTTTAAATGAATGATGAATGAAATGAAAAATAAGTGCAAGCTTCTTGTGTCTATCCCCAAATAGAAAAGTTGTGGTAGATTTAAAAAAAAAAAAAAATGGTGTATTCGTACTATCATCAGAGGTAGGAAAAAGTAAGGCCTGAACCCACAACACAAGTTCCTAATAAAAGCTGAATTTCCCACTTGAGTGTGTTATCTCTGCGCTAAGGTATCTTACAAGTAAGCATGATTTTCATGCTTCACCTTCAGGAAACTGAAGAAGTATCTGGGCTACTCTGAAACTAGTGATAATATTTTCAGTAAGTATTTTTTTTTTTTTTTTTTTAAATACCAACTCCATTACAACACCATTCCTGGTGATGCTTGAATCCAAAATCTTCCAACTCAAGAAGCCAATGTTTTATCCACTAGGCAATAAAAGCAACCTTAAATTGATGTAGATATATTTTAAGAAAAATTCAAATTCTGGGATTTTGAAATCCATCATTATTTTCTCGTAACAATCTGTTGTTTAGATTATTCTGTAAAAACTATCAACCATATATAATTTATGGTTGATTACTAAGCCTTATCACTGCTAATAAACTTGAGAATTTTCCTTTAAATAATTTATAAATCTCTTTATTTTATTAGCATATGCATTTTTTTTTTATTATTATCTGAAATTTTTATTAAGATTAGTCCATTTGACTTTTTTTTTTCATCAAGAAGAATTTTTGAAAGTGCAATCATATAAAAACCATGGTATAATCTGGACATTTGAAACGTGATGCCTGAAACTGACGTGTCAAGCATAAAAAAGTTGAAGTTAAGTCAACTCACGCGGTCTCCGGCCATCCAGCAAATGCCACCTCTGAACTCGCTTCTGATTGGTTAACGCGTGACCACGTTGGTGTGAACCCAGCTTTATGGATCCAGCTAATGAAGCAGGCAGGGTTTTTCAAAATGCTTCAGTTGTAATTTTTCATTTTTATTTAGTATAAGTCTGCCTTATTTTTAATTTTAGTATAAGTAAATCTAAGCAAATTAAATCTTGAAGGTTACTAATATTGTTTTTGCTTGCAAGTTTCTGAAATAAACATTTTATATCTTTTCTATTCTTAGAAATGTGGTCTAAACACCCTGGTCTTCAAGAGATTTTATCAGTACAATCTCATCGTCAGAAAGACCAAGAATTTACAGGACATTTAACAGAAGATTATGGTGATATAAAATTTGTTAGAGTCACAGATGATACAGAAGATTATGATGAAACAGAATCAGAGGAGGAGGATTCAAGGAATGATGAGGCAGATAGTGAAGACAGTGCTGATGCTCCATCATCTGATAACAAATTTGGATTGCTAGGTGAAGAAGTAAATTGTTGATTGACAGCTTGATACTGTTTACTTATGTTCTCTTAAATCATGTTCATAGCATAAAAACTTCTAGAATTTCCATAGAAAATTTTTATTTGACTTTAGAACTTGCCTATTTAAACAGGAAAAACACAAAGCTGTTCATTATATCATTGTAAATACTATAAATTTAACAGAGCACTGTATAGGTAAGAATGTAAATAATATTAGTATGTGCCTCTTTCTTCTATTCTAAACCTGAAACCCCTAAATATACATGGAATAATTTGGACATATTCTTATGCATATGAATTCATTGAAAAAAAAAATGCAGAAGGAGAGTCTTTCCAGATTTCTTTTGTATATACAGCATATATTAAGCTTAGTTTGAGCTAAATATAAACTGAAGTCCAAAATTTCTCAGTAGTCATGTTTCCATAAATGTATTTTCTACTTTTGTCTGTGATACTTAGACCAACTTCATGAAGTGAAATATTTTCAAAGTAGACAGAATTAAAATTTTTAATATTATGAAATGTGAATAAATAACCTATAAAAATATTAACAGTGATAGAAACAAGAATTTATCAAAATATGTGCATTACTTTCAGTAAAACTGCATTCAAAATTTTTATATATGTTAAATTTTTTACGATAGGTTTTTAATAAAAGTTGCTAAAAAAAGATAAAAACCATATCAGAAATATTTAAATTGTTTGATTACTCATTTTTATGATGTATAAAACCTGTTGTTTTCTTTTTGCTGACAAATATGTTTGACAATTTCATGGAAATAAAATATTGTTTTCATAAAAATTAGCTAACAGTTAAGGAAACCTAATTAAATTAATTTTTAGCACTAAACAGACACATTTATTTATTTGATATTAGTGTAAAACTTTAAGAACTGTGGACTGTGCCACAAAAATTGCCTCAAAATTATGAAAAGAAAAGAAAAAAAAAAAAAAAAAAAGAAGAAGAAGTCTGTTTATATCCCCCTAACTGATGTAAGAGGATTTGGTGACACCATATGCCAGGCATGTGAAACTTTTACAGGACAGTATTAACAGAAATTTTGTGAAACTTTTACAGAATGCAGGCCATATTAAAAATTTAGGATTTATTGATATGATAATATAAAAAATATATGTGTCTTAATCAGTTTAATCTCTCTGCTATTTAATATAAATCTCCATCAAAAAATCTTAAAAATATAAAATACAGAATAATATTTTTAAATAATAATAATAGTAACCTTATCGATGCAATGATTGTGACATCATGGTTGACACAAGATGGTCAGTATTCAAGGATATTATGGGCGTTGAAACTAACAATGTGTTTTCCAGGTACACATCAATAATTCACGTGTCTTTGTCTGGAATTCCGTGAATTTCATCCATGAAAAAAGTTGTTCACATTTATATATGCTTCCAAATAGCATCATTTTTTTCCTAGCCGAAAGCTGCCAGTTTTGGAAACTTGCCACTTTAGAAATAGTTTTTAAGAAAGTCAGTTAGTGTTACATCCTTTCTTTTTGTCTTCAGAACAAAGTTCACTAGTAATGCGATTAATTCCATTTCCAAAGAAAGTTATACTAGTACGACATCAACATCAAACGGAAAAGAGAAAAGTCGCATGTTTGCTTCTTGTTTTTTTAAGTTGCTGAACTTAATGCTGAATACTTAACTCAAAGATTTCAACTTATCTGCAGATTCAGTTACATTTGGAAAAGTGGTCATGGCCCATGCAAAATCAGGGTGCGAGGCCAGGTGCTACCCATATGTTGCACTTGCCTGCCATATTTTCCTCACATTTTTGCTGCTTAGTAAATTTAAGACCCCTTCCAAATTGAACTTTTCTCTTGAAGTCGATGAAAAAATAGGTAAAAGAACTAAAGAATTTAAAAGAATATTAAAGTCCTTCTTCCCCATTTTGATAAAAGCAGATTTCTCTTAAGCACATTGTATTGGCCTAGACTTTCCTATCCTAAGCATCACACTGAAACTACAGGTCTGTGAAATAGCTGCTATGAAGAGAAAAGTGAGGGAGAAAAATCTTTTAATGTTGGAAACCTTAAGATTGAAACCTCTTAAATTATGCTTTTTTTTCATAAAAAAAAGGGCAAAAATGTATTTTTGTGGTTTTATTTTGATGCTAATGATATTTAGTTTTTAGTAAGAATTTTTTAATAAATAGCGATGTGGCATTGTGAAAAATGTGCCATATATGAAACAGCAACTAGAATCAAATAGTTAAGATTAATTTGGAAACTGAAATATTACGTACTTTTTTAGAAATTAACTAGTCCTTGTCAGATTATTTTATTTTGTACACAAGAAGAGAAATTTTTACATGGTGCTAGTTTTATAGCCATGCTAAATTACATTTTACTTTTACAAATTAGGAAAAGAGATGTAACATAGTGCCTTTATATATTTTCAAAGTTAACCTTTTTTTTTTTAGTATCCTACAATCTGACTTTTCCATTGACAAGTAGAAAGTGTACATAAATTGTTTTCTTAATGAAAAGTTTTGAGTAATAACTTTTGTGGTTCAGAAACTGATTACAGTAATCAAACCCATAGCTGTTGCAATAAAAATTATTTTTTGTGAGTATTATTTTAATTTTTATATATTGAACACATTTCTTGTGTGTTGTTGGTATATATGTTCCCATTGTAAGTATTCACCTACATTTTGCAGCCTAATAATTTTATACAGTACACAGAATCCCTCCTCTTTTTCTCCCCTTTTTAAGAACAAGGGAAAGGAAGAGATAGTGCAAAATTTAAGAGGGTATAACTTCATTACTATTTTCAATATTTTAAGTTGTTGTGATTAAAAAACAAGTATTGTTTTAAAATGATTAAATTACATCTATATCTAATAAATCTTTTTGAATATTAAAAATCTTTTAGATATAATAATGCATTCTAGTATGCGTAATAAATCCTCCTTGGAATATATGTTTCCACGATGGACTTATTTATTTTGTCAATCATGCTTCTAAAGTGAAATCTCTGCTGTAGGGAGCAAATAAGCAGCCATATCTTGAAGACATATATTCATCTTTCTACATTTTAATAAAATTTTGCAGATGTACAGCATTTATTATGCATAATCATCTATCTGTTTCTGTGGTAATGTAGATTTAATGTTTTAAAATACAATTGTATTAAAAATTGTTATTGTTCAAGAATCATTAAAAATAATATTGACCATTAATTGCATAGTCTGATAGAATAGGAATTTCTTGATGATCTTCAACTTGAGTTTTGCAGACGCATCAACTGTAAGTTACTGTGAATATGTAAATCTGTGAATTCTATTAAACAGTTTTTGATCTCTGTGTTGTTATTCTTCTCCCTTAAAAAAAAAAAAAAAAAAAAAGAAAAGAAAAAAAAAGAAAAATTCTTGCGAAGAAAATTTTTTCTTTCTCCTACATCCCTGTCAGAAACAAAAAGTGAAGCTGAGACTAATCCATGTATTATAAGATGTACACTGCGCCAAAAACAAAAGAGAGAGAGAGTGATAATTCTATATCTCCCGTTCTATTGAGCCTTTTGACAAAATTCAACATGCGTTTTTCATGTTTCGAAAGCATGACTTAGGATATGTATTAGATTTAGATATAGCATTGTTTTAATGTAGGTATTTTGACTACGACTCAAATTATGCCAAACTGCCAAGTTTTGTAAAAATCGAAAGAGTATCTTTTAAAAAGTTAGTTCGCAAATTTTAACTCCTCAATATTAATTGAATTTGATATATATTTATTAATACCCTTTCTTTTTATTAAACTTACTTGATTCCTTCTTCCAAAATTCAAATTTAGGTTCATTCCAATAAATTCGTCCATTTTTTATGATTTATTTCTAAAATTTGTATTTTAAAATAATTTTTATAAATTTTTTGAAAAATTTTTTAATTACTCGTATAACCTTTAAGATTTCTACCATCACCTTAAAGTAGATATATTTCTAAGCAGACCAGAAAAAAATAAGTGTTTTTTATTCAAAATTTTCTAGGATATACGTGAGTTTACATATCGGCACGTTTTGAAATTTGACATATTTGTTATAAGCGATAATAGCGGCAAATGTGGTTTACGCGTTTTGTTAAAATTATTTGACTTTTTTCCGTTCATTTAGAATGAAAAAAGGGAAGGTTAGGTTATTTAATTACGGCAAAGCCTCGAGAGCTATCTGCCTAAGAGGAGGGATGATTTCGTGGAGGACTTTCTATGATATATATATATATATACGTTACACATGGGAAAACCACAAAAACACCCATGCAGCCAACCTGTTCGCGGAATTTGAACCTCGGACCGAACTACCAGTGTTCAGTGTCTTTACCACTCGGCCGCTAGTGGGCCAAAAAAAAACAGGGAAGGAAAATAGGTTACTATAGATTAGAAAGGTCAAAAATTTATCTTGGCACCTTTTTTTAGTTCTTGGCGCAAACTTAAAATGCGCAAATTTTTCTTCTTGTGTACAAAATAAAAAAATCTGATGTGTACACCACATGACTTCCTTGTACGGAATATTAAATTATACGCATTTTTTCTTCTTTCATTTAAAACTATGGATTGAATTAATTACTTCACCGACAGCCATAAACCACAATAGAATAAATCATCTTTAAAATCCTTTAGTATTTTTTACCAAGCGACCCACTGCTGCTAGATTCACTGCATATTATTTCGTTCTTTATAACTTGTATGCACAAATTTATATCATTGAAAGATGATTATCTAATCAGTGCCACATTTCTATTCAAATACATATAAAGCTAAATGATGTATTAAAAGTGAAGCACACAAACAAAACGAACGTCATTCTCATCTCATTCAATTATAGTCTCACTTCGCGAGAAGGCAAAAATACATAAAACCTCAAAAAATATATATTAAAATGATGAGTAAATCTAAACACTTATTTTCTCGCACAGTTCAAAAGGATTAAGCTGATTTAATTGCACTAATAATGGGTCTTACTTTGTTTTGCGAGCTATGTTTCTCTAGATTGGCAACAAATCCACAGCTTGCCGTTTCAATGTAAACATCGATTGCCCGCATAAACAAAAAAAGCTAGCGGACTAAACACTTAAAACTGTTGATACTCTAAATAATTGCATAATTTACTAAGGCTAAAAACCTTAACTGAAGGTAAAACAGCATAATTATCATTTTTAAGCCAAAATGTACAATTTACAACTATACGAGTAAAGAACTGAGACACTGACGGTTAACAAAGTGGTATTATATAATATATTTATTGAAAAGAAAATTTAAAGCTAACGGTGATTAGACTAGACCTATCGGGCTCAAAAACTTTTGCGCATAATGCTGCAAAAGATTTGAAAGAATATTAGTGGAAAACATTGCATCGAACGTCTAAAAGTACCAGATCTGTTCTCCACAAATATTATAACATACTACTATAATAAAATTTGTCTGAAAAACTGTAAACCCGCGTAAAACTGCCAAATTGTGCGGGAAGACTACTATTGCACGAAAAATTATCGACCGATGTGAAAATTGAACTCGCATAAAATAGATCGAGAAACATATATATATATCAAGGTACAAAAAACTAGTTAGAAAATGCCTATACTTAAAAAAATAAAAAAAGACACAAATGCTCAAAACATATACATAACATAAGTAATAGCAAAAATTGTAAATAACCCTCGTACCCTCAGTTGGCGTTCAGGACAAACTATTTTATGAACTAGGTTAAATACCATTACATTTAGCCGAAACAGACCATGAAGCTCTTGTTTATGCGAAAAATTTTTTAAAAGACATTATTATTTCCGAAAAAATTTTTTGAAGAATCCTTTTTTGTAGCTCCCTGCTCTGTTCTTTTTTCCCGACGTCCGTGAAATACACATTAAGGTGTCAAAAGCTATTGTAATTCCGAGCAATAAAAATCAAATCAAAGTAGAAAATATAAATAAATAAAGTGGTCTGCTATTAGTCAAAATACACAACGTCGGGCTGGTCCTTTAACCCCTTAACTGCCGTAAATCCGGCGTATAATCACTGCCCCCGGGGCTATATATACTCCTTCTCAGCCATGCGTAACTTTGGCGAATATTTTTAGGTTACACGCAAAGCAATGATAGCATTTGGAAGGACGTATATAAACGCTGGGGCACTTAACGCTCGGCTGAGCAGGCTATATATACGCCCGGGCAGTTAAGGGGTTAACCTTTAAAAAATATGTAACTTTTATTAGAAGAATGGTGCTGTAAACAATAAATGTAATCAATTTTTGTAAAGTAATAAATAACTTCGCGGGTCTTATTTAGGACCAAAAACCTAGACAATAGAAACGAAAAAAACTGACCTGAGAGGTTCCATCCTCAGCTTTCGAAAAATTTTTTGGAAAAGGGTGCATAATCCCTTCGTGCCTAAGCCAACCTTCCTTATCGCATAGTGACATCGTCGTGCGAAGCAATAAAATCTGAAGAGGCCAATGGGCTGAGATCGTAGGTTGGCGGGAATTCTTGTCCCCCCCCTTTTTTATAGAAGGGTGTGACAGATGAGAAAAAACACGGAAAGAACTCAAAATGGCATCAGTCAAGTTGTAAGAACAAAACTGTTAAAAATAAGTGAAAATGGCTAATTCAAAGTATACTACATAAAATTATTTATTTTTGGCCTCAAAAGAAAGTGTAAATTGGAAAAAAATCATTTGTTAATAAAAGTCGTCATTCTTCAAGCTAGAGGGCTGTCAGCTACTGTGAAAATGAAAAGGCCCGATTTGTTAATAAAAGCAGAATTTTGGCCTTCTAATATTTAAAATATTATATAATAGTATTAAAGTAGTGCCAAAATTTGGAGGAAGAAAAGGAGTAGAAGAATTAACTGTCATTATACAATTTTTACATTATCTAATTTCCATCCATCATTTTGCCTTCGGTATGCTTTAAGCAAAAAATTTCATTATCCAAAACAAATTATCTAAAATTGGTAAGGCTAATGCCAGCTTTTTCTTAAAGTATTTTTAATTATTTTCTGAGGAATTTGGTTATTTTTCAAATTGTGACGAGTAAAGTATTTTCTTGTAAGTGTTCTGTATATTACAGATCCTTTTTATTCTAGAAGCTGTGAAAAAATTGTTTATGATGATTCTTTTGGAATGGAATTCAGTTGGTTAACTTTAGTGTAGAAAAAGTGAATCTCTCTCTCTCTTTCATAGACTTTATAAAATGTTATCAATGATATTAAGGTCAAGGTATACTAATATTGCACCGTATTTGTTTTATTTAGCTTTAAGCTAGTTGGGTAATATTGGCTGCTTCTTTTGTTATGGTTGTTAAGCTATGATTCATTATGGAACGATAAGGTGTTATAAAATTTATTTCTGCTACGTCAAGATCGGACAATGTCAATTCGCTTGTGAAAAGGAAATATCACATACGGCGCTCGAAAACTTCCTCCCATTGGATCCTTGAATTTGTTTGAAGATGCTTTGTTAAAGAGAATATATTATTGAAAAGCATGTTCGTAAGATAAGTGCCATTTTAGTTATCAATATTGTAGAAATCGGAAATTTCTCTGGTAGAGCAGTAGTTGGTATAATTTCTTCAGCGTAAGGTAGTATAAAGGTTTTCGATCGTAGCATTGTATATGGTCATTTTAATGAATTAAGTCTTAATTACGAGTCTATACTTGAAATCATCCGTTGCAATGCAGATCTGAAATCATAGTTTTAAGCAATCCGTATTAACGAATTTTTTTTGCAAAAGATAATCTATTTCTTTAAGATAACTTTTGTATATTGGCATGACCTGATTAATAGGTGATTATGAATTTTGAGGGCATAATTTGCAATCGTTATTATAGTTCCGTGGATGTATCTTAAGTCTTTTATGTAGTGGTTTAATTTATTGTAGAATTTTGTGTTGGTGTATTTTTTGGAAGTGCCATACTATTATTTCTTTGTGCAAAGGTCGAAGTAAAACTTTTTCAAGAACAATAAAATTGTTGCTAGCTTTGTCAATTTTTGTATGATAAAATTATCTTGTTTTTGTTGATGAATCAAATGTCGTTTCTTATTGTGTAGGAGGTTGAAAGAAGGTGTCTTGAGAGTGAATGTTAAATTCTTATCTTGCACTTCCTTCCGAAAATTGTAGTAGGTAATTGGATTTACTACTATATTGAATTTATCAAGATCTTGATTGAATTGTTTGAGGCAAAATTTATTGATACTAAAATTACGACAAATTGTGCCAGTTGTAAAGGTTTCGTAGTTCAAGTCTTCAATGATTTAAGATCTCCTGTTATACCTGCTGTGGAAAGGATCGATTTTTTTGGTAAGAGCAGTTGGCATGACA